ACTAAATTTTTCTGATGCAATAAAAGTATTTTTAATCTTAATATGAAAATTATTTTGCATGGTAAATAGGCAAGATAGTAAAAAGAAAAAAAAGCATGAGAAAAACCTTGCTTTACAAACCTTAAGACTTAATAAAAAAAATTATATATTTTGCATATGAAAGCATTGTAATGTTTACTGATAAACTGCCAAATTGTGTTAACATTCGCTTGCTAATTTAAACGTTATAGCATGAAAACTGTAACAAGCACAAATGTTACGAGGTCGGTCCTAGGGACCAAGCCTGGGTTGAAAGAACTAACAGGAAATGCCAGGTGTTAAGCTGATGTATTAGAACTTTCTATTTCAAAATAATACAAAAGAACTTTAATTACAGACACTGAAACATGTACGTCCACTTGTCTTAGTCTCAACATTAGCTAAGCCTTTATTGAGTACAGAATATATTGAATAGAGAGATAAATTAACACTATAACTTGTGTACATTTTTTGCTTTACTTTGGTTTTGGCTAAACTTTACTGTACTTAATACTATTAATAAATAAACTTGTATGTTATTCTACAATCTAATGTTAGACCTTTTTAAAAACTATGGCAAGCTTTTAATATGTTGTTTTACAAAGTGTCTACTAAAGTATATTTACATCCGCCTTTTGTTTACATCCACTTATGTAAAGTGCACATGAATGCACATTTAGATAGTAAAGTGTGTGGGCATATTCAGGACTGGAAAAAACTGAACATTTATTATAATAGATGGCCAATACAACCTTTAAGAATACTAATTAAATTCAAAGCTCAGCTTAGGGTCTGTATTTGTGCAAGAAACATTGATATTTGCAGATTGAAATAAAGATTATGCACCAGGTTCAAATTATTTATAGAAATATGTAAAACAATGAACCATAAATGAGCTCAAATTACATGACTCACAAGTCCATGGCATAATCACTGTTGTGTTTTGATTGTGCACATTGACTATTTGCACTAAATAATGAGTAATCCTTTGTGCTCAGGTAACATATGTCAAAAAATCTTCATATAGCTTGTAGGTTCTCAATATTTCAGGCTCAAGAGTTTAACAATTGTAATGAAAAGTTTAAGATTCTTTTCAAATGTGTAACAGTACAAAACAAAAACAACAACTGCTCTTATTGTATCAAAACAAATGCATATGTTATATAATGTAATAAAATTAGAGCATATAAATGTATTAAAACAATTTTTTCACAGTAGTTTGACAATAGTCTTGTATTAGCTTTCAAAGACTTGCTAATTTATGTTTTCACAGTGACTATGCTGTACTATCTAAACATTGGTTGTACTTATTTTTCAGCATGTTCTTACCAAATGTTTACGAACATATAAAACTTACATATGCAGCTTTAAATCAGTTATAACTACTACTGCTACTAAACATTAATTTAATGATATTAAAATTGGATAACAAAGTAAAATAGATTTCTAAGTTGCATAAAGAAACATGCAAGGTTAATGACTTATTAATTAATTTTTCAGTGCTATTAAATGTTTATTTAGAATAATTGGATAACTGTAATGTATAGCATTTTGTTTCGATATGCAATTCTCCAAACAATTCCTAGTAGCACTAGTGTTTTTGATCGTTTTTTTTGAAAGTTGCATTATTAAAATTCAAGAAATATGATTACTAAATATATTGATAGAATATGATAATTTGAAAAGCAAATAATATGTCATTTTCATTTAGAAAAATATCTTTGAAAAAGTTCATGATTTGTGTGAAACTAGTTAAGGTTTATATTCTTAAGTACATTCACAGGCATCATGTTAACTTGAGATTGAACAAGAAAGAACCATGATGAAATTTGGTTGAATGGACGGTAACTGCCTGTTATAGAAACACAAGTATAGAGGACAACGTTTCGAAAGTTTCCATTCATTCAGCCATATTTCATCATGATTACTCTACCTAAACAATCTATCAAAGAAAGAACCATGATATACTTTTACTTATGTATGGTACACCACTTAAGAACTGTATCTTCAGAGTACATATTTAAGCAGTTAAAGACGATCACTGTATCAAGGCTTGTAAAGCTGTCTTAAACTGCATTTGGAGTGCTTATTAAGACAGCATGCTGCTAGAAAAGTATTATACTTAAAAGCAGCTTGTCAATGTGCCCTGAGGAGATGTCACAGAACAGGTGCTGTTTGAAACTACATATTAATTAGCTTTTGAAAAGTAAGATTTCTATGAGGTTACACTTAAGAACAGAGTACTATCATTTTTCTTTTATTTGTTCAAGTGCAAAGTTACACTAAGAGGCCTGGCATGACCTCGTGGTTTGGGCACTAGATTCACAATGTGTAGGGCATGGGATCAAATCCTATCACTGAACATACTTGCTCTTACAGCCATTGAAACATTACAGTGTAATGGTCAATCCCACTTTTTGTTGGTAGGACTAACCCAGGAGTTGGTGATGTTGACTAGATGCCTTCCCTCTAATCTATCACTTCTAAATTAGGGATGGCTAGTGTACACTCAGTGGTCACAAGTAAATAGACACCTAATTTTTCGTCATTTAACTTATTTATGCTAACTAATTTGTGTTCACAGAGCACTACATAAATGAAAATGGTCCGCACACTAATTATCTTGTGCTACAACATGCCTAGAACTTACATACTAGTACATACATATGTACACTGAGTGGTC